CTCGGGAGGCTGAGGCAAGAGAATTGCTTGAACCCAAGAGGCGGAGGTTGCAGTGAGCGAGGTCACCTTGAGCAACAGGGCAAAACTTCGTCTCAAAATAAAATAAAACAGGCCGGGCACAGTGGCTCACGTCTGTAATCCCAGCACTTTGGGAGGCAGAGGTGGGCGGATCACAAGGTCAGGAGATCAAGACCATCCTGGCTAACATGGTGAAACCCCGTCTCTATACTAAAAATACAAAAAATTAGCTGGGCGTGGTGGCAGGCGCTTTGTAGGTTGCCGAGGCAGGAGAACAGCATGAACCTGGGAGGCGGAGCTTGCAGTGAGCTGAGATTGTGCCACTGCACTCCAGCCCGGCGACAGAAAAGACTCTATCTCAAAAAAATAAAAAAGTAAAAAAGCAAAAATTAATTAATCAATTAAATTAAATTAAACAGGAAGGGGAAGACCCAGCAGGAGTAAGTTTTCTTTTGGAGTAAGAAGGATGAGGAAACAGGGCTTGGGTTTAGTCTGATTGACTTTTGGAGGTGACTATTAGATTTGAAAGTTGAGGTTATTGATAGGTAATTATGTACCCTGACTTTTTAAGGGAAAAGCCTTAAAAGGAGACGCTTGAGTTGCATCAGGTGTAAATTATACCTTTACAAATTTTTATTATTATTATTTATTGTTATTATTTTTTCGATGCTCTGTCACCCAAGGTGAAGTGCAGTGGTGTGATCTCAGCTCACTGCAACCTCCATCTCTGGGTTCAAGTGATTCTCAGCAAGAGCAGACGCAGGGTTTCAGCTTTGCATGTTGGCCAGGCTAGTCTTGAACCTGGCGCCATGATCCACCTGCCTCAGCCTCCCAAAGTGCTGGGATTACAGGTGTGAATCACCATGCCTGGCCAAAATTTTTTAATTTATTTATTATTATTTTTTTTTTTTTACTTTTTTAAAAAAATATAGAGAAGGAGGTCTCGCTGTGTTGACCAGGCCTTCAAACTTCCTGGCCCCACAGCCTCCCATCTCAGCCTCCCAAAGTGCTGGGATTACAAGTGTGAGCCACTGCATCTGGCCAGGTATATAGATGATACTTAAAGCTCTGGGGCTGAGGCCAGGTCAAAGCCCAGAGCACCCCAGTGCTACACAAAGTGCTTCTCAACTGGGGGCAGTTGTGCTGCTGCTGCACCTCCAGGAGACACGTGGCAATCCCTGGAGACATTTTGTTTTAACTGGAAGGTGCTAGTGGGATGTAGTGTGTGGAGGCCAGGGATGCTCCTAAACATCTTAAAATGCACAGGATTCCTTCTTTTGTTTATTTTACAGCTGAAGTGAAGTGGCATGATCTCGACTCACTGCAACCTCTCCTCCCGGGTTCAATCGATCCTCCTGCCTCAGCCCCCCTAGTACCTGGGATTACAGTGCCGCCACTATACCAGGCTAATCTTTGTATTTTTAGTAGAGACTGGGTTTTGCCATATCGGCCAGTCTGGTCTTGAACTCCTGACCTCGGGTGATCCACCTGCTGCGGCCTCCCAAAGTGCTGGGATTACAGGTGTGAGCCACTGCACCGGCCAGAGGTTTTTTTTTTTTTTTTTTTTTTTTTTGAATTACCAGGTTACTTTTGTGCTTCTAGCACTCAGGATGTGTCTGAGGGACAAGTCAGTGACTACAACAGGAAAGGACTCCTCAGGTCACCGTCTGTGGCAAAGCTCACTGATAGATACACAGATGGGGGAGTGAGATGGACAGCGACGTCTCGTTGATAAAGATGGGGTGAGAGCCTGACTCTTGTAGTCTTCAAGGGTTAGGAAATAAATTTACGGGTATATGAGGAGAGGACCAAAACCTGGGTCCCAAAAGAGGAGGCGACTGAGGCTGAGATTTCCCGAGTCTTCAGGAGGCAGGAATTATATTCTTGAATCCCTGAAGGAAGAAGAGGCTGGGACTCCGAATCCTGGGTCCTGAGGGAAAGGATAGGAGGGATTCTGGGTGGGAGGGGATGAACTGGGCCCCTAAAAAGAAAGGAGTAGAGACTCCTGGTGCCCTGAGGGAGGAAGGGGGACAGGCTTCCAAAATCCTGAGTTCCTGAAGGAAGAGGGGACCTGGGCTGTATAGAGGAATGGGAGGCTGGGGGCTCCTGGTTTTTTTTTTTCTTTTTTTTTCTTTTTTTTTTTTTTTTTTTTGAGGCGGAGTTTCACTCTCGTTGCCCAGGCTGGTGTGCAGTGGCACAATCTCAGTTCACTGGTGCCTCCCGGGTTCAAGTGATTCTCCTCTGCCTTAGGCTCCCAAATAGCAGAGATTACAGGTGCCTGCCACCACATCAGGCTAATTTTTGTATTCTTAGTAGAGACAGGGTTTCACCATGTTGGCCAGGCTGGTCTCAAATCGAACTCCTGCCCTCTTTTTTAAAGACTGAGTCTCACTCTATCGCCCAGGTTGGAGTGCAGTGGTGCACCTCAGCTCACTGCAACCTCCACCTCCCAGTTTAAGTGAGCCCTCCTGCCTCAGCCTCCTGAGTAGCTGCGATTACAGGCACACACTATCACGCCCAGCTAATCTTTTGTATTTTTAGTAGAGATGGGGTTTCCATCGTGTTAGCCAGGATAGTCTTGATCTCCCCGACACGTGATCTGCCCACCTCGGCCTCCCAGGTAGCTGGGATTACAGGTGTGAGCCACCACGCCTGGCCCTTTTTTTTTTTTTTTTTTTTTTTTTTTTTAATAGAGATGGAGTTTCACTATGTTGCCCAGGCTGGTCTTGAACTCCTGGCGTCAAGCAGCCCTCCCACTTCAGCCTCCCAAAGTGCTGCAATTACAGGCGCCAGCTGTTGCCCCCTGCCTCCACACTCTTGAAGACCAGGAACCAGTGGTCCTCCCTTCTCAAGAAAACAGGACTTGGCCAGGTAATGTACCTCCAGTATTTTGGGAGGCCAAGGTGAGAGGATCACTTAAGCTTGGGAGTTCGAGACCAGCCTGGGTACCACAGCAAGACTCCGTCTCTACAAAGAAAAAAAAAGAGGCTGGGCAGTGCAATGGGCTCACCCCTGTAATCCCAGCACTTTGGGAGGCCGAGGCGGATGGATCACAAGGTCAGAGATCAAGACTATCCTGGCCAATGGGGTGAAACCCCATCTCTACTAAAAATACAAAAATGGCCAGGCACGGTGGCTCACGCCTGTAATTCCAGCACTTTGGGAGGCCGAGGCAGGCGAATCACACAAGGTCAAGAGATTGAGACCATCCTGGCCAACATGGTGAAAAAAATTAGCCTGGCGTGGTGGCACACACCCATAGTCCCAGCTGCTCGGGAGGCTGAGGCAGGAGAATCACTTGAACCCGGGAGGTGGAGGTTGCAGTGAGCTGAGAGATTGCACCACTGCACTCCAGCCTGGGTGATGAGCAAGACTCAGTCTGAACAACAAAAATACAAAAATTAGCTGGGCTTGGTTGTGCTTGCCTGTAATCCCAGCTACTTGGGAGGGTGAGGCATGAGAATCACTTGAACCTGGGAGGCAGAGCTTGCAGTGAGCGAGATCGGGCCACTGCACTCCACCTGGGTGACAGAGCGAGACTCTGTCTCAAAAAAACAAAACAAAACAAAACAAAAACCCATTGGGCTGAAGAATTAGACTTGTTGGTCCTGGGAGAGGAAGGGCAGTGGAACATAAAATGTTAAATCTTTAAAGGAGGGGAGGCCTTCATAGGGCTGTGAGTGTGTATGGGAGGCTGTGAGCTTCTGATCCCTGAAGCTGAGACCTATGGCCTCCTCCGCCTTCCAGAGCTAGGGCATGGTTCTTGAGCGGGGAGGGCCTGGGGCCTGGTCTCCTGGATCTGAGGGAGGAGGGAGGGGTTCCTGACTCCTGGGTCTGAGGGATGGGGGCAGGGCCTGGACTCCTGGGTCTGAGGGAAGGAAGGGGTGGGGCCTGGACTTTGTCTGGAGGGAGGAGGGGCTGGGTCCTGGACTCCTGGGTCTGAGGGAGGGGAAGGGCTGAGCCCCGGACTCCTGGATCTGGGGTCTGTGGGCACTGGGACCTGACTACAGGTCCTGACTCCCAGCCTCCCTCAGGAGTGCCTGGACCATGCTGCTGGAGTGCCTACTGGTAGGGTCCAGGCTACTACTTGACCATCCCTCTGTGCCTGGCTGCTGAGGGCCGGCTGGAGCCTGCCCTGCAGGGGCGGCTAAGCCCAGGGGCCAGAAGGCCTGGGACTGGGCACTGGTTCCTGAAGATGCGCGCCATGACTACATGTGCATGGGCTTCGCGGTTGCTCTCATTGGCCGACACGCTTTGGTACTGGGCCTCCATCTACTTCTGTATCCACTTCCTGGCCCTGGCAGCCCTGGGGCTGGGGCTGGCTTTGCGTGGGGGCAGCCCCAGCCAGCGGAAGGCAGCATCCCAGCCCACCAGCCTTGCCCCCGAGAAGCTCCCGGGAGTAAGCTCTGTGACGCTCCTCTGCCAGCTGGTCCTGAATTCTGTGAACCAGGCCACTGTCTCTCCCCAGAAAGAGTCCTTACCTTGGAGAGTGTCCTGAGAGAATTTCCCTTTTCCCCAGCTAAATACTCTGCCTGCAACTGAAGCAGACTGGGGTGTTCCTCCTGCCTCCACCCAGGACCACCTCCACTCCTACAAAATCAAAGTTTTGTCCAGACAAGAGTCTCATGGGCCCCTGCTCCAGCTTCTGGGTATCCAGAGAGCACTGCACTTCCCCAAAAATGGAAGGGGTCCCCACAGTGGGTTTGGACAATTCCCTTTGCATCCACAATGTGGGGTCAGGAGCTGGGGGCAGGTCCTGGGAGTGTGCTCTTCCTGTGGCCTTCGCTCCACTTTAGCTCATTGCACCTATACAGACTTGGAAGGAAGCATAAGCTTCCCATTTCACAAAGGGGAAACTGAGGTGCAGATGTGTGGGCTCGGGATGGCTGTCCCATAGCTTCCATCTGGAGTTTCACCTCAGGGCCCCAACAGCTCCTGGGCACCCCCTCTTTCCTCATCCCTGGGCCTCACGACAGGTCACCATGTGTAAATCTTTCCCACAAAGTGTTGCACAAAGGCATTGTGTCCGTGCAGGTATCTGGGTGATAAACGGCAGGAAGGACTTAGCCAAGGAAGTCCGGGGAGGGACAGCTGCCCAGCCCAGAACCAAACTGTCAGGCCTGGGGCACTGCAGAGGGACTTCAGCCCCAGGAGAATCTCTCTGCCACCGAAGTGCATCCCTTAAGGTTCCGCTGCGCCGCACCTCACCCTCCTTCTACAATACTGCCAGGTGGTTATTACTCGTTTCGGGTTTCTTCTTTTTACTTGGGTAGTGATTTGCCTGGTGGCCACTAGAAACAGCCCAGCCTGGGGCTGGCGGGAAGAAAACTCCAACCTTGGAATCAGCCTGGGCTCCTCCAGGGGGTGGCTGGCCTCCCGGGAGGCTGCCAGAGAGGTAGGATGCCAGGAGAAGCTCTGATCCCTCTGGACCTTCAGGCTAGGTGGGAGTCCTGCTGAGGAAAGGGAGGCCTGGCCTCCTGAGTCTGAGAGCTAAAGAGAAGGTTCCACTTCCTGACATTATGGGGGAGAAAGGAACTGAAGGCTGAAACTCCGGGGTCTGAGGAGGAGAAGCCTAGAGAACCAGGCTAGTCTGGAAGGAGGGGAGGGCTAAGGGCTGGGAGTTTGGGTGTCTTGGGACTAGGAGAGGCTGGGTTCCCACACTTCTGAGCTAGAAGGGAAAGGAAGTTGAGGACTGACTCCTCTCTGCCCTGGAGTAGGAGGGGTCCGCGCCTGGGGATGGAGTTGACGACTGTGGGCCCCTGGGTCCAGGGAAAGTAGAGACTGGCACCCGGACTCCTGGGCCTGAGGGAGGAGGGGCTGGGGACCTGGTTTCCTGGTCTGAGGGAGGAGGAGCTGCGCCTGGACTCCTGGGTCTGAGGAGAGGCTGAGGGCCTGGACTTCTGGGTCTGAGGGAGGAGGGGCTGAGGGCCTGGACTTCTGGGTCTGAGGGAGGAAGGGCTGGGGGCCTGGACTCCTGGGTCTGAGGGAGGAGGGGGCTGAGGCTCCGGGGACTCCTGGGTCTGAGGGAGGAGGAGCTGGGGCCTGGACTCCTGGGTCTGAGGGAGGAGGGGCTGGGGGCCTGGACTCCTGGGTCTGGAGGGAGGAGGGGGCTGGGGGCCTGACCTGGGTCTGAGGGAGGAGGGACTGAGGCCTGGTTTCCTGGTCTGAGGGAGGAGGAATTTGGGCCCAGACTCCTGGTCTTCCCAGCCCCCTGCTCCTCCCCAGGCCCATCGTTGTCCCTCTCTGTGCTGAATGAGCTGCCCAGTGCTCCCACCTCCCAGTACTGAGGCCCTGGGGCGCTGCCTTGGGGGTGCTGGAGGAGGAGGAGGAGGCTGGAGAAAAGGAGCAGAAAGGCTCTTCAGCAGAAGTCACCCAGATGGAGCTGCAGGACCTCACCCTTTCCTGGGAACCTGCTCCTGGCCCGTGCAGGCCAGACGGGCACTGGCTGGCAGGTGAGGCCCCACTCCGGCTGGGACTCCGCAGGCTCAAAGGCCCTTCTCCTCCTGCTACCTTGACTCAGTCTCCTCCTCCTGTCCTCTGCCGCTTTCTGGCTTCTGGGCGTCTCTCACATTACCAGAGCTGCCTCTCTGGTTTCTTTCCCCTGTCTTTGTCCTCCTTGACTCCAGGTGAGTGCTGCCTTTCTGTGGCTCTGGGATCTCTTCTCTGTCTCGGGATTCACTGTCTCCTGGTCTTCCCAATCCTGTCTCCTGCTTCTCAGTTCTTCTCTGTGTGTGTCCAAAATCTGTTAATATTTACTTTCTGCTTATGCCTTCCTTCATCTTTGCCTCCTCTTCAAAGCCTTCCTCTCTCTTTAATTTCTTTCTTTCCCATTCTCAGTACAATCTGCAGGGCCCAGTGAACAATGAAAATGCAGGTGCCTCCTCTCCAAAAATGATTGTGGGCTCAAGGGGTGGCTCACACCCGTAATCCCAGCACTTTGGCAGGCCGAAGTAGTGGATCACCTGAGGTCAGGCTCAAGACCACCCTGGCCAACATGGCGAAACCCCAACTCTACTAAAAATACAAAAATTAGCTGGGTGTGGTGGCATGTGCCTGTAATCCCAGCCACTCGGGAGGCTGAGGCAGGAGAATTGCTTGAACCACAGAGATACAGGTTGGGGTAGTGAGCCAAGATCGTGCCATTGCACTCCAGCCTGGGTGATAGAGCGGGACTCCATCTCAAATATAAATATATATATAGTATATATATGGAAAAAACAATAAAAACAATAATATATCACCACTCCCGTTGATCAGTGGCGATCGTGCCTGTGAATATAGCCACTATACTCCAGCCTGTACAACATATCGAGACTCCATCTGTATTTTTGGTGCACAATTCAGGGCCGGGTGCGTGGCTCATGCCTGTAATCCAGCACTTTGGGAGGCTGAGATTTAAGTGATTCACAAGGTCAGGAGTCAAGACCATCCTGGCTAACACGGTGAAACCCTATCTCTACTAAAAATACAGTGTTAGCTGGGCGTGCGCGGTGCCTGTAGTCCCAGCTACTGGGAAGGCCACAGAGAATGGCGTGAACCCGGGAAGTGGAGCTTGCAGTGAGCCAAGATTGCGCCACTGCACTCCAACCTGGTGACAGAGCAAGACTCACCTCTAAAAAAAAAAAAAAAAAAAAAAAAAGTACAAAGTAATAATATGACAAAAAAAATACAAATTTTAAAGAACAGCTATCTATATAACATTTACCTTGTATGAGGTATTGTGAGTAATCTAGAGGTGATTTCAGTGCTTTGAGGGGCTGGGGTGTAGTGGTTTCGACACGAGGCCCCAGCACAGGTGTGGAGCCTGGAATTTTGGAGGCTGGAGCCTGGAAATTTGAGGCTGGGTGTTGAGCTTTACTGCCCCACTGCACTCCAGCCTGGACAACAAAACGAGATGCTATCTCTGGAAAAACTGATAAAAAATAAAATAAATTTTAAAAAAACACAGGAGGATATGTGTAGCCTGTATTCAAATACTATGCCATTTTATATACGGAATTTGGGCATCTACAGATTCCGGTATCCTGGGGAGTTCTTGAACCAACTCCCCTTGGATACTGAGGGACGATCGATTTATAAAGTGAGAGCCCAGATAAACTCCAGCTAGGCAAGACTCCAGCATGACAGCACCCCTGTGCGTCCTCCTGACACCCCCTTTCTCCTCATGACGAGTTGGTAACCTTCTCCCCCAACATTTTTTTTTTTTTTTTTTTTTTTTTTTTTTGAGACAGAGTCTCGCTGTGATGCCCAGGCTGGAGTGCAGTGGTGCGATTTCAGCTCACTGCAGCTTCCGACACCTGGGCTCAAGCGATTCTCCCACTCCAGCCTCCCGCTTTTCTGTATAGCTTTGCCAGCTCTGTGCTCTGCAACATTGTACAAATAGAATCATGCAGTCTTCAATCTTCTGTGCTGTTTTCTTCTGCCTAGCATTAGGTTTCCTTCTTTCTTTCTTTTTTCTGAGAAGGAATCTCACTCTGTCACCCAGGCTGAAGTGCAATGGTGCCATCTCAGCTCACTGCAACCTCTGTCTCCCAGGTTCAAGTGATTCTCCTGCCTCAGCCTCCCGAGGAGCTGGGATTACAGGCGCCCACCACTAGGCCCAACTAATTTTTTTTTTTTTTTTTTTTTTGTATTTTTAGTAGAGGCAGGATTTCACCATGTTGGTCAGGCTAGTCTCGAACCTCTGACCTCAGATGATCCACCCACCTTGGCCTCCCAAAGTGCTGGGATTACAGGCGTGAGCCACCGCACCCAATTGGTTTCTTTTTTATTGCCACAGAGTATTCTATCTTATGTATAGGCCACAATTTACTTCTCCGTTCTACTTTTGGGTTGTTTCTACATTTGGATGGTTTCCAGTCTGGGGCTTCAAAACCCCTCATTTTCTGCCTGTTTCCCTCCCAGGCAAAGAAATGCCAGGGACCAGGTGGTCTATGGCTCTGGAACTAGGAGGGACCAATGGGCGCGGCTACTTCAGAGGTCCAAGGAGAAAACAAAGGAAGGTTTGCGAAGCCTGCAGCCCTGGTCATGGACACAAAGAGGATCGGGGGTGCGGTGGGGTTCAGGTGATGTCCTGGGGTCAGGGCCTGGACACCTGGGTGTGAGGGAGGAGGGGCTTGGGCCTGGATTTTGGGGTCTGAGGGAGGAGGGGCTGGGGTCTGGACTCCCGGATCTGAGGGAGGAGGGGCTGGGATCTGGACTCCCGGATCTGAGGGAGGAGGGGCTGGGATCTGGATCTGAGGGAGAAGGGACTGGGATCTGGGTCTGAGGGAGAAGGAGCTGGGGGCCTGGACTCTTGGGTCTAAGAAAGGCACGGCTGGGCCGGGCGCGGTGGCTCACGCCTGTAATCCCAACAGTTTGAGAGACCGAGGTGGGTGGATCACCTGAGATCAGGAGTTCAAGACCAGCCTGACCAATATGGTGAAACCCCGTCTCTACTAAAAATACAAAAACTAACTGAGCATGGTGGCGCGTGCCTGTAATCCCACCTACTCGGGAGGCTGAGATAGGTGAATTGCTTGAACCCAGGAGGCGAAGGTTGCAGTGAGCCGAGATCGCGCCACTGCACTCCCGCCTGGGCGGCAGAGAGAGACTCCGTCTCAAAAATAATAATAATAACAACAATAATGATAATGATGATGATGATGATAATAATAATAATAATAGTAATAATAATAATAATAGAAAGAAAGCAAGGCACGGCTGGGCCCCTAGTGCCGGGATGGGAGGAGCTGGTCCTGCTCCCGGGAAGGAACCTGAGCCTCTCTCTGCTGCCCCCTGCAGGCCAGTTTGGCGCCGGCACGGAGTCCTACTTCTCCCTGCTGCGCTTCCTACTCCTCCTCAACGTGCTGGCCTCTGTGCTTATGGCCTGCATGATGCTGCTGCCCACCTGGCTGGGAGGCGCTCCCCCAGGCCCTCCCGGCTCCAACACCTCCTCGCCCTGTGGCTCCTATAACCCCCACTCCCAGGGCCTGGTCACCTTTGCCACGCAGCTCTTCAACTTGCTCTCAGGAGAAGTAGGTGGCTGGGGCCCTGGGAGTTTCCCCCGCCCACCTGTGAGCCCAGTGCCTTCAATGACACGAACATCAAACCCTGACCCCAGACCCTGACTGTGCAGCTCCAGGAGCCCCGCCTCCTCCCACAGTGGCCCCCGCGCCGCCTTCCCCCACAGGGTTACCTGGAATGGTCCCCTCTCTTCTATGGCTTCTACCCGCCCCGCCCACCCTGGCGGTCACCTACCTGTGCTGGGCCTTTGCAGTTGGCCTCATCTGCCTCTTGCTCATCCTGCATCGGTCAGTGGCACCTGCACCCCTGACCCCGTGACGGGACGGGTTGGGGTAGGCAAGCAAGTGGTGGTGGCAGAAACTCCCTCCGCAAGAATCCTCAGTCTTGCCGTGTAACCCTTTCTTCCGTGTGAGTTAAAATCAAGGTTTTGTGCCGGGCGGACGCGGTGGGTCACGCCTGTAATCCCAACACTTTGGGAGACCGAGGCCGGCGGATCACGAGGTCAGGAGATCCAGACCATCCTGGTTAACACGGTGAAACCCCGTCTCTACTAAAAATACAAAAAATTAGTCGGGTGTGGTGGCGGGCGCCTGTAGTCCCGGCTACTCCAGAGGCTGAGCCAGGAGAATGGTGTGAACCCAGGAGGCAGAGCTTGCAGTGAGCCGAGATCAGGCTACTGCACTCCAGCCTGGGCGACAGAGCAAAGCTCTGTCTCGAAATAAAATAAAATAATAAAATAAAATAAAATAAAATAAATAACAGTTTTGGGATTTTTTTTTCATTTGTTTTTGTTTGTTTCTTTTTGAGACAGAGTCTTACTCTGTCGCCCAGGCTGGAGTGCATGGTCTTGGCTCACTGCAACCTACACCTCCCGGGTTCAAGCGATTCTACTGCCTTGGCTTCCCAAGTAGCTGGGTTTACAGGTTCCTGCCACCACGCCCAGCTAATTTTTTTGTATTTTTAGTAGAGACAGGGTTTTGCCATGTTGATCAGGCTGGTCTCAAACTCCTGACTTCAGGTGATACACCTGCCTCGGCCTCCCAAAGTGCTGGGATTACAGGTGTGAGCCACTGTGCCCACCCTGTTTTATGTTTTGAGACAGGGTCTCACTCTGTCACCCGGGTAGAGTGCAGTGGTGCAATCATAGCTCACCTGAAGTCTGGGCCTCTGGAACTCAACTGATCCTCCCACCTCAGCCTCTGGAGCAGCTAGGACCACAGGGATACACCATCATGCCCTGCTAAATTTTTTTTTTTAATGTTATAGAGGCAGGGTCTTGCTATGTTGCCCAGGCGGTGCCCAAACTCCTGGACTCAAGAGATCTGCTCATCTCAGCCTCCCAAGGTGCTGGAATTACAGGCATGAGCCAATGTGCCTGGCCAAAAGTCAACTTTTTTTTTTTTTTTTGAGACGGAGTCTCACTCTGTTATCCAGGCTGGAGTGCAGTGGTGCGATCTCAGCTCACTAACACCTCTGCCTCCCGGGTTAAGCCATTTTCCTGCCTCAACCCCCCAAGTAGCTGAGATTGCAGGCGTGTGACACCACACCTGGCTAATTTTGTATTGTTAGCAAAGATGGGGTTTCACCATGTTGGTCAGGCTGGTCTCGAACTCCTGATTTCAAGTGATCCACCCACCTTGGCCTCCCAAAGTGCTGGGATTAGAGGCGTGAACCACCGTGCCCAGTCAATTTTACTCTTTTTTTTTTTTTTTTTTTTTGAGAGATCTGCTCATCTCAGCCTCCCAAGGTGTTGAACAGGCATGAGCCAAATGTGCCTGGCCAAAGTCAACTTTTTTTTTTTTTTTTTTTGAGACGGAGTCTCACTCTGTTATCCAGGCTGGAGTGCAGTGGTGCGATCTCAGCTCACTAACACCTCTGCCTCCCGGGTTGCCATTTTCCTGCCTCAACCCCCCATAGCTGAGATTGCAGGCATGTGACACCACACCTGGCTAATTTTGTATTGTTAGGCAGAGATGGGGTTTCACCATGTTGGTCAGGCTGGTCTCGAACTCCTGATTTCAAGTGATCCACCCACCTGTAGCCTCCCAAAGTGCTGGGATTAGAGGCGTGAACCACCGTGCTCAGTCAATTTACCTTTTTTTTTTTTTTCGAGACAGTCAATTTTACTCTTTTTTTTTTTTTTTTTTTCTGAGAAGGAGTTTCGCTCTTGTTGCCCAGGCTGGAGTGCAATGGTGCGATCTCCAGCTCACCACAACCTCCGCCTCCTAGGTTCAAGCAATTCTCCTGCCTCAGCCTCCCAAGCAGCTGGGATTACAGGCCTGTGCCACCACACCCAGCTAATTTTGTATTTTTAGTAGAGATGGGGTTTCTCCATGTTGGTCAGGGTGGACTCGAACTCCCAACCTCAGGTGATCTGCCCGCCTCGGCCTCCAAAAGTGCTGGGATTACAGGCATGAGCCACCGCACCTGGCTCAATTTTACTCTTCAAAATATATATATATTGCAGTGTAGTGTCTCCTTAGCCCAGGCACTGTACTAGGACATGGAGAACCATTTGGGAGTCCCCAAACATATGTACAGCTTACCATTTAGTAGGGGAGATACACTGTGGGACAGACTGTTAAATAGACAAGCAGGCTGGGCCCAGTGGCTCACGCCTGTAATGTCAGCACTTTGGGAGGACGAGGCATGTGGATCACCTGAGGTTGAGAGTTTGAGACCGCCTGACAAACATGGAGAAACTCCATCTCTACTAAAAATACAAAATTAGCCAGGCATGGTGGTGCATGCCTGTAATCCCAGCTACTCAGGAGGCTGAGGCAGAAAAATTGCTTGAACTCAGGAGGTGGAGGTTGCAGTGAGCTGAGATCGGGCCATTGCACTCCAGCCTGGGCAACAAGAGCAAACTCCGTCTCAATAATAATAATAGTAATAAAATAAACAAGCAAATCAATTATTTGAGTTTGGGAGCAATACTATAGAGAAAACGAATGGGCTGTGAGGATGGAGAGCAAAAATCAGCAAACTTTTCCTGTGAAGGGCCAGGAAGTAAATATTTTCATCTTTGAAGGCCTTGCAGTCTGGGACTCAACCAAACTCTGCCACTGTAGTGCAAAAGCAGCCACACACAATACATAAATGAGTGGGTGTGGCTGTGTTCCAATAAAACTTAATTTACAAAAGCAGTGGTTGGCCCAGATTTGGCCCATGAAGTCTTGTTTGCCAACCCCTGTGATACAGAATAATGGGTAGGGACCCTCATTAGATGGAGTGGTAAAAGCCTTTCTATTTGGAGTAAGGGACCTGCAGATGAAGAGAAAGAAGAGAAGGAGCCAGGCAGGTGAACAGCCAAGCCACCAGCATTCCAGGCAGAGGGAGCTGCAAGTGCAAAGGCCATGTGGTAGGAAAGAGGTTTGAGGTGTTCTGAGAAATAAAAGGCCTGTATGAGAAGGGGCAGGGCCAGTTGCGGTGGCTCATGCCTGTAATTTCAGCTTTTTGAGAGGCTGAGGCAGGCGGATCACTTGAGGTCAGGAGTTTGAGACCAGCCTGGCCAACATGGTGAAACTCCATCTCTATTAAAAATATGAAAAGTAGCTGAGCATGGTGGCATATGCCTGTGGTCCCAGCTACTTGGGAAGCTGAGGTAGGAGAATCAGTTGAACCTGGGAGGCAGAAGTTGCAGTGAGCCAAGATCGCACCGCTGCACTCCAGCCTGAACAACAGAGCAAGACCGTGTCCAAAAAAAATTAAAAAAAAGACAAGGATTTAAGCTTTGAGAAGTAGGGAAGGGTCAGATCAGGTAGGCCCTGGCAGGTTATGCTAGGAAGAAGTTTCAATTTTTTTTTTTTGAGATGGAGTCTCCCTCTGTCACCCAGGCTGGAGTGCAGGGGCCAGATCTCGGCTCACTGCAAGCTCTGCCTCCCGGGCTCAGGCCATTCTCCTGCCTCAGACTCCCGAGTAGCTGGGACTACAGGCGCCCACCACCTCGTCCGACTAATTTTTTTTATTTTTAGTAGAGACAGGGTTTCACCGTGTTAACCAGGATGGTCTCGATCTCCTGACCTCGTGATCCGCCCATTCGGCCTCCCAAAGTGCTGGGATTACAGGCGTGAGCCGTGGCGCCTGGTGTGCCCCCGTCTCTTGAGTCTTTACTTGCCATCTTCTCTGGGTCTCTGTCTTCTTCTCGGGTCTTCCCGCCCAGCCCCCTTCTCTGGGTGCCCGTACTTCTTATGGGTCTTTGACCCCCATCTTTTGTAGATTTAGTTTCTCCTTTCTCACTGTTTTGTATCCCTTTCTCCGAATCTCCCTCTGGGGCCTCTGTCCCTCCTCCACATCTCTGTCTTTCTCAGGGCCTCTGTCCCTTTCACTCTGGGTTTCTGCCCCCTTCGCTCCGGGGCTCTGTCCCTGTCTCCTAGGTTTCTGCCTCTCTCTGTGGGGTGCCTGTGCTCCAGGTCTGTCTCTGCATCTCCCTTGGACTTTGCCTTCAATGATTGTAGGTGTCTCCGCCTCTTTGACTCTGTCTCCATCTGATGGCCGCTCCCCTAGTACCCAAGGCCTTAGGGTTCGTCTTCCCCATTGGTCCCAATATGAGGGATCCCCCCATAACCCCCGTTCCTGGCTGTCCTTTCACATCCCGTCTCCCCTCTCGGCTCGGTGTCAGGGCTGAAGCGAACACTGGTGGAGTCAGGATCTGACGACTGGCCACCGGGATCTCTGCCTGGGACTTCGGCCTCTGCGGGGGGCATCATGTCTGCGGCTTTCTTGGAGCATCTCTTATCTGAGTAAGAGTACGGTGCGGGGCGGGTTATACAGGTAAGGTTGAACCGGACAGAAGCTGAGATAAGGCACTGAGACTAACAGTGATGAGGACTAGGTGCGGCCAGGGGCGGGAATATAGCGGTAGGAACCAGACTGGGCTATAGACTGTGACATAACGCTGAGGCTAACCGGTGATGGGCCTCGGCGGAGGAACGCTAGGCAGCTCGTTCTCCGAGAAGGCGGGTCCTGGGGAATGAGAGGTTGAGAGGAGGCAGCGATAGAACTACCCGAGATCAAGGGGTGTAGGAAAAGGATCGCCAAGGCTGAGATCGAGTGGCTCATGCTTGTAACCCAGCACTTTGGGAGACCGAGGCAGGTGGATCGGCTTAGTCTAGGAGTTCAAGACCAGCCTGGGCAGCATAGGAGGCTCCTCTCTACCAAAAAAGCAAGCACAAGAAGCGGGCGGGGCTTTTAAGGCAATTTGGTTCAAAGTTAAGTGATGGGAGCGACCAGCGGGCGTGTGTAATATAGATGAACTGGAACTTCCAGGCCAGGCATTAGCGCCCAG